TCATGAGTTCAATGCCAGCCTGAACTGCATAGTGAGACCCTGTCTTGGTGAGGTGGGGAGAGAACACTATAGGCCATCCTCTAATGAATACAGATGCAAAAGTCCTCAACAAGATACCGGCAAACAAAATGTAACAAATCATCCAAAAGATCATGCAGCATGACCAAGGGATCCAATGATAATTCAACATATGCAAATCAATAAATGTAGTACATCACATAAATAGAAACAAGGACAGGGGAGGGGATGTAGCTCAGTGGTGCCACACCTGCCTCGCAAGTGCAAAGTCCTCAGTTTGATCCCCGGCACCAAAAAAAAAAAAAAAAAAAAAAAAAGAAAAGAAAAAAGAAAAGAAAAGAAACAAGGACAAAAGTGACATGATCATCTCAATAAATGCAGAAAAAGCCTTTGACAGAATCCATCATCTATTCATGATAAAAACTCTGAAGAAAATAGTGTAAAAGGACCTCTCAATCTAGTAAAAGCCATTTATGATAAACCTACTGCCAACATCATACTGAAAGCTTTCCTTCTAAAATCCAGAACAAAACCAGGATGTCCACCATCACCCTTCCTGTTGAAGACAGTAGCGAAAACATTAGTTGGGGCAATCAGGCAAGAGAAAGAAAAGTACAGGAAAGGAAGAAGTTGAGTTATCATTATTTGCAGACAACATGGTCCTCTATACAGAAGACCAAAAAAATTCCACCAAAAGTCTCCTAGAATTAATAACCAAATTCAGCCATACAGCAGGATACAAAATCAACAAACAAAAATTGGTAGTTTTCCCATACTCCAATAATGAACTCACTGAGAAAGAAATTAGGAAAACAGCATACCCAATGGCATCAAGAAAAACTAAATACTTAGGAATTAACCTAACCAATGAAATAAAAGACCTCTACAACTAAAACTGTACTACTTTGAAAAAGAAGATTGAAGAGGAATTTAGAAAGTGAAAAAATGTTCCCAGTTCCTGGAAAGGCAGAACTAATATAGTCAAAATGATCATATTTCCAAAACTGATATACAGATTCAATGTAATTCTAATCAAAATACCAGCAGCATTCTTCACAGAACTGAAGAAAACAATCCTAAAATTCGTACGGAACCAGAAGAAACTCAGAATAGCAAAAGCAGTCCTGGGTAACAGGTATCACAATCTGAAATCTCAAGTTATACTGCATTACAAAGCTACAGCGGTAAAAACAGAATGGTACAACCACAAAAACAGACATTGGGATTGATGGAACAGAAGAGAAGATGCAGAAACAACCCTAGGCAATTCAGCTATCTGATCTTTGACAAAGGGACCAAAGAAAAGGGACCAGAGAAAAGATAGCCTCTTTAATAAATGGTGCTGGAAAAACTGGTTTTCCCTATACAGAAGACCAAATAAGTCACCATGTACTAAATTAAAATCAAGATAGATCTTTAGATCAAAGATCTAAAGGTCAAAACAGAAACAGTCTTCTGGAAGATAAAATAGGTAAAAACTCTTGAAGACTTAGGTTTAGGCAAGGACTTTATAGACAGAGCCTCAGTTGTACAAGACAATGTATCAAGAATCAACAAATCAAATAATATCAGATTAAAAGAGTTCTTTTCTGCACAGCAAAGGAACTCACCAACAAAGTAACCTTGTAGAATGAGAAAAAATAATTTTTGCCAGCTATTCCTCGAACAGAGGAATAATATGTATAATATATAAAGAACTAAAAAAATTAGAACCTCCCCAAATAAAAAAACCCAATCAGAAATGGTCAACTAAAATGAATAGACTCTTCTCAGAAGAAGTACAAATGGCCAATAAGTACATGAAAAAAGTCTCAGCATCACTGGCCATTAGAGAAATGCAAGTTAAACCAACACTGAGATTCTTTTATCTTATTCCAAAAAGAATGGCTTTCATCAAGAAAACAAATAACAGGGCTGGGGATTTAGTTCAGTGGTTCTCCCATCTGTCTCATAAGCACAAGATCCCAAGTTTGATCTCCAGTACAAAAAATAAATAAATACATAAATAGCATAACATAACAAATGCTAGTGAGGTTGCAGGGGAAAACATTCTTCTACATTATTCATGGGAATATAAACTAGTATGACCACTATGTAAATCAGTATGGAGATTCCTCAAAAAGCTAAAACTAGGAATTCCATTTGATCCAGCTAATTCTCTGCTAGGTATCTTTCTGAAAGAATTAAAGACAACATTGTATAGCAATACATGCACGCCCATGTTTATAGCAGCATAGTTCATAATAGCTAAATCTTGGAAGCAGCCTATATGTCCATCAACGGATGAAATGATAAAGAAAATATGGTATTTATACATAATGAGTACTACTGTGCCATAAAAAGGATAAATGAGTCATTTGTAAGAAAATGGATGCATTATGAATAATGTTAAATGAAATAAATGAGACATATAAGTTTAAATATCACATAGTTTCTCTTATATGAGAAACCCCAAGTATAAAGAGCAAACTAAAAGACAGAAATAGAAAATAGGGAGTTAAGATCATTTGCAAATGGCAAGGAGACCAAGAGATGGAGGGAGAGGGGAGGGAGGAGAGAGGGAGGAGAGGGGAAAGGGATGAAAAACAATTATGTGTTATATACATGTACCAACTCCCTACAAGAAATGTAATCATTTTGCACTGTAAACATGTATTAATAAAAAATAAAAATTGAAAAAAATTTTTAAAGAGCAAGAAAATTGTTGCACAATTCAGCGGTTTTCAGTATATTCACTGAAATGTACAAATGTCACCACAGTGTAATTCCAGGACATTTTTACCACTCCAAAAAGAAGAACCATACCTATTGAGTTACCCCCAATTTCTCCCTAACTCTTCTGACCCTGACGTTCACTGATCTACTTTCTGGCTATATTTGCCTATTCTGGACATTTCTTATAAATAAAGAGGGTTTGTTCTTCTTCTTTGTACCTGGGATCAAACTCAGGATATTACACTTGTGAGGCAGGTGGTGGGAGAGGTTTAATATGTAGCCTTTTATAACTGGCTTCCTTTACTTGGTATGTTTGCAAGATTTATTCATGTTGTAGCATGTATCAATTTTTATTTCAATTATTGAAGGCTTGGGTACTTTCTGGTTTTGGTTTTTGTTTTTGAATGCAGGGCCTCTAGCACAGAAGGCAAACACACTACCACTGAGCTACACCCCAGCCTAGGCTTGAGCACTCCTATGCGCTACCCATCTGGCCCCATTTCTTTGATGAGTAAAGTAAGGCTCGAGTCACAAAGCAAGTAAGTTGAGGGAGACCAGACAGAAACCCAGGCCCTCACATTTGGTCTGAAACTATACATCCAGCAAAGAGAGTGGGTTAGTGGTAGCCTGGTGATCACAGGAGGGAGGAGTACAGTAAGGATCAGGTACTTTCTGTTAATGGCTGAGGACTTTGAGCTGGGATGGACTTTCCTTTGTCTCAGAGCCAGCAGGAGTTCTTGGCTGGGATTTCTCCGGAACTTGGTTGGTATCAGCAGTGGTAAGGGGTGGCTTGGAGAAATGATTATTGATGTTAAGTAATGCCCTTAGTGGGGAAGGAAGGGGAGGGGTGGAAATTGCCTAGGGGATGTATAAAGAGTCCTCTAAGAGAGCTTGCTCCTCTGAGTGTCAGCTGTTCGCAGAACTCCAGGGTCATCCTCTGAAACACATCCAGAAGCCCTTAGTACCACCTAGTCTTGCTGCCCTGTGCTGGCCCCCTAGGATATGGTGATAATCAGTCTGTCCCTTGAGGGAGACAGGAATGTCAGCAGGGTACACATAGTGTTCCTGTGTAAAGCTGGGCACTTGCAGCGCTATGGGAGGCTGGGAAAACCTCTGCCAACCTGAGCTACCTGGGGGAGGGTATCAGGGGGAGTTAACCAGATAAGGGATAGCAGGTTCTGAAGAAGCCAAATGGGAGGAGCCATAGGGGCCTGATCCTGGTCATGCAGCTGGTAAAAAATTTACTCTAGGCCAGGCATGGTAGTGCATGCCTGTAATCCCAGCATTTAGGGAGGGTGAGGTAGGAGGATCACAAGTTGGGAGCCCAGCTTGCCAGTTGGATCAGTTTAGCAACTTAGGGAGACCTTGTCTTAAAATAAAAAAGGGCTGGAGATACAGCTCAGTGGGAAAGTCCTGGGTTCAATCCCCAGTACTAGGGGGGTGGGGGGGGGACAAAAATGAGAAAGAAGAAAGGGAAGGGAGGGGATAGGAGGGAAGAGATTTTCACTTCAGAGGTTGGGAAGAGTGTGTGGTAGAGGGGAGGAGCCAACGAGGCCAGGGAGACAGGGATTATTGGGGTGCCTGAGGGCAAAGCCATAAGAGGACCTGAGGGGTATTAGAAGCAGGTTGGGTTGGTGAGGAGGTCAGTGTGCTGGAGCTGAGTCTGCCCAGCCTGGCTGACACTCCCTGGAGACAGGCAGGAGCCGCTGGCTGTCTCCATCAGAGACAGAGACTGGGTGGCCTTGGCAGCTCCTGGTAACTGAAGCCGTGGGAGTAGATGAGGTCCTTCCCACTGGGAGAACAGAGAAAAAGGTTTCCTCCCAGGATGAACATGCACCTGGGGGAAAGGAGGGTCCAGAGCCAGAACCAGCCAGTCCTGGCTGAGGTGCATGACCCTGCAGTTTCATTTCTCTCTTTCCAGACTGAAATGGAATTTCCATTCCTGGTGTGCATGGTGAGAGGACTGAGGAGAAGGGGCGGGCAGAGGACACACGGGGATCAGTGGCAGGGTCAGGGAGCCCTGGGAGAGGAACATGAAGGTGGAGGTCCTGGCTGTGGGTTTCCACTCCCAGAACCTATACCTGTTTGGCCTGGATCCTTGTGGTAATGTAATTCCTGCATGTTGCCCCATACACGCTGCGGCACAGTTGTTAGTTCTTTTGAAAGACTCTGAGACTGAGGCCCACAGAAGAGCCTGGAGTGGCCCCTGCCTCAAAGCAAATCAGTAGCCAGGACAGGATGAATCCAAGTTTCTCCTTTCTGCCTAGGAATGAGGGGGCAGATGCAGTGGCTGATGGGACCATAGAAACTAATCTTGGAGGTGCAGAGTGAGATCATTCCACCCCGTCTGGAAAGCTGAGAACACAGGAATATATACACAGACATTCAAAGGTATCCATATCTTGTGGAGTTTAGAAAGCCCAGTGTCCCACATACACACCAACCCTGTAGGAGATAAGCTGAGTGCAACAGCATCCTCACTCCACGCTGTCTCAGGCCCTGGGCTTGGTCTGCTGTATACCACATGCCTTCCTGGAGAGCTACTGGGGCAGACTGTACCAGACAGTTCCCAGCAATTAGCAGTCTCATGGTCATTCTGTATTCCCAGCAAGCCCCTAATGCACCCCCCCACCATCCCTGGAGGCTGTAATCTGTGGCTCAGGTTGGCATTTGGTGGGGGTGTTGAGGGAGGGAGTGGGAGTTGAGCAGATGCCCTGTGAGTCCCAGAGGTGGGAGTAGTGCGCAGGCCCATATGGTGTGGCTTGTGCACTTAGAACATGGCATCTCAAGAACTCGGCTCAGATGCCTCAAATTAACACTGCCTTCAGGAAGCAGGCCCTCCCCTCCTGACACCACAGAGGTGTCCACAGGCTCCCTCTCCTCTGTCCATCACAGCCCAGACTCAGAAGCACTGGAGCCCACTGGCTGCAGGAGTCAGCTAGCATCTCCTCCAGAGGGCCAGACAGTGAGTATTTTGGGCTTTGTGTGCCATATGGTCTCTGTGGCAACTACTCAATTCTGCAGTTATAGTTAAAGCAGCCACAGACAAGACGTAAATGACTGAATGTGGCTGTGTCCAATAAAGTGCTATTTATGGATACTGAAATTTGACTTTCATATAATTTCCCTGTGTCACAGATATTCTTGCTTTGATTTTGTCTCCCAGTTATTTAAAAATGTAAGAACCATTTTTAGCTTTCAAGCTGTACAAAAATACAGGCTGTAGGTCAGGTTTGCTGAACCTGTGGGTTATAGTTTCCCAACCCCCGGGTTAGAGCAAGGCCTCTGGGTGTGTGAATTCTGGCTTTGCTGTGTAACCTTTGTTTCTAAATCATTCTATGCTTCAGCTTGTGTGTGTGTGTGTGTGTGTGTGTGTGTGTGTGCGTGCGCACACATGCATGTGTATATGTGTGGCCCTAAGGATCACACACCCAGGAGCACTGTACCACTGAGCTACAACCATAACCCTTTTTATTTATTTTATTTTGAACCAGGAATCAAACTCAGGACCTGGCACTCGCAAGGCAGGAGTGGTGCCACTAAGCTAAATCCCCAGCCCTATGACCTTTTTATTTTATTTTGAGACAGGGTCTTGTGAGTTGCCTAAGTAGGACTGGAATCTCCATCCTCTTATTTCAGCCTCCCTTTAGCCTCCTTGCAGTCTTGCTCTCCATGCCCAATTCGGGCTTCAGATTGTTCGTCTGTCCAGTGAGGTTGATAACGATAATCCTTTGGGAATGTAAGATAGTATTGCCACTTTGGAAGTACTTTGGCACTTCTTCAGAATGTTAAATATGAGAGTTGCCATATGACCCACCAAAACTACCACAAAGAATGTACCCAGGAGAAATGAAAACATGTGTCTACACAAAAACACATCTGTAGTAATGTTGTTACTCATAACAACCAAAAAGTGGTAGCGACCCAAAATGTCTATCAGCTGATGAATGGATAAACAAACTGGAATATCCTTACAAATGAGTACTATTTGGCCATAAAAGGAATGAAGTACTAACACATGCTACAACCCAGATGATCTTTGAAAATATAATGCTAGGTGAAGGAAGCAGTACAAAAGGCCACATATTACACGATTCCATGACAAGGCCCATCTGTGGAGACATACAGTGGATTGATTAGTGGTTGCCAGAACCTGAAGGGTAGACTGGGCTAAATAGAGGCGTGGCTGCTAAGGGGTATGGGACTTTTGCTAGGCTGATGGACATATTTTGGATTACACAGTGGTAATGGTAATGGTATATGACTCTGTGGATATACTAAAAATTGAATATACCAAAAACTGAATCGTATACTTAAAGAAGTAAACTTTATAGCATATGAGTTATATCTCAATAAAAATAATGTCAATAATGTTTCCTTCCTTCCTAAAATTGCTGGTAGCATTAATGCAGGGAAAGCACCGGGACTAATGCTGGTCACCCCTTACTGTTCCAGGAAGCCACCAGGTCTGACCTGTTCCCATTGTCTCTGAGGCTTCAGACAGGACCTAACTTTGGGTTCTGGAGTCCCACAGCACAGACCAGGGTTTGAGTTCTGCATCTGCAACATGAAATCATCTTCATAATAACGAGCTCATAGGTCTGGGGAGCAGAAGGTGCAGACACTCAGGGTGTGAGTGCCCTAAGCTGATTCTGTCTGGTCACAGAAGCCAAGTCACCTGTTTGGTCTGCAGGTTGCCAGGCTGGGATAGCGGCAGTTTGACCTCCCACTGCTCCCCCAGCCTCCCATGGCCCCACTGGGTGGGGATCCCCAGGCCCGGAGACTGAACACTTCAGGCCCTGCAGCAGACATCCAGATCCACTACCCATGGCTGTATGACAGCAGACCAGGCATCGCCCTTTCTTTGTCTGAGCCTCATTTTATTCTTCAACTGTCAGACGGGTTTGGGACACCATACCTGCCATATTAGGTGATTGAGACGGTGAGGTGGAGCAATGAACATAGAGCATTTGCCCAGTGCCTGCTGTATTTTAAGTGCTCAGTGCATGTCAGCTTTTATGATAATGTATTTTAAAATATTTATTTTGAAAGTCTGCTATTGCCAGGCACTGCTCCAGTTATAGGGATATAGCAGAGAATCAAATAAACAAAAATCCTTGCTGTCATAAAGCATAGTGGGGTAGGCAGATAAGAAACAAAGTAAGTAAAGTAAATTATTCTTAAGAACATGACTGAGAAAAGAAAACAGTGTCGATGGGAGCTTAGAGAATGTGGGAAGGGGTTCCAGTGTTGTAGAAGATATTGAGAAAGTCTCACTGAAAAAAGGACATTTGAGCAAAGACCTGAAAAGAGGAGCGAAAGAGGGAGCCATGCCCTTTCTAAGGGAAGTATCCAAGGCAGAGGAAACAGCAGTATGCTAGGCAAGTGTGAGGCATATGGAAGAGGTCAGTGCAGCTGGAAGGGAAAGAGTAGGGAGGATGAGGTCATGTTCAGGTGGCAGGAAACAGTCACAGGTGGCCCTGGCTCCAGGTGAGATAGGACCACTCCAGGGCTTTGAACAGTTGCTACCACACATAGACTTAGGCTACAGTAACATGTACAGTGTAGAGTCTAACTCCTTGCCCTTTCCCTGCCTTACTGCGCTGTGCTTCCTCCCACAGGACCAGCTGGGGGCCTCCATGGGTGCTTGAGAGCCAGGCGACAGGGCTGCAGGGACGAGCATGGTGAGACACCAGCCCCTGCAGTACTATGAGCCACAGCTGTGCCTCTCCTGCCTCACAGGCATCTACGGCTGCCGCTGGAAGCGCTACCAGCGCTCTCATGATGATACCACACCGGTGAGCTACCCAGGGGTGGACTCTGAGGGACCTTGTGGGCCCCAGCAAATCCACAGGCTGTGGAGATGGGGAGTGAGCTTACTTACTCGTTACTGGGTGGCTCTGAACAGGCCAATGGCCCTTCTGGGTTTCAGTTTCTCTCTCTTAAAATGGGCCCGTACTATTTCTAGAATCTGCTTGGCCAGGTGGGCAGGGAAGGAGCCCATCCCATCATAGATGTGGCTGGTTGTTGACTCTCCTCTGACCGTGTGGGGACTTGGGTGCTCCAGAGGTCTGGGGCCCTCCAGGAGGAAGGAGTTACCCTAAGGTGAGCAGAACCTCCCAGCTTCCAGACCTGGCAGATCTGGAAGGGCAGGCAGGTGGTGGCAGGAGGGTGAGACAGGAGGCCCGGCCATCCTGGAGCCTGGGAGCTGGCAGGGCCATGGCCTGGCAACAGGGCCCCGTCACCTGAGCCACCAGCCTGCCAGAGCTGGCAGCAGGTGTGAGCAGGATAAATAGGGCCTCCTTCAGTGCTGGCCTCCCACTCCAGGCCTGAGCTGTGCTTCCGTCCCCGGGGCCATCAGCTGGTGGATCTAGTTTCTTCTCTGAAGGAACCCAATTCCTGTGTGGTGTTTATCTAAAAGCTTTGCTGCCTGGAGAACAACTTTCCTCCTCCCTCCTGCTTGTCTGAACAAAGAAGCCAGCTTTCCAATTCAGCTGTGTCCCAGACAGGCTGAAGTGACCAGGGGAGGGCATGGCTGAGGTCAAAGGCTAAGTAGGCTGGCCTGTCTGGGCCAGGACACCAGCATAGCTTGTGTGTCTGACCACTCTCTTCTGCCTGTGCTGGCGAGGGGTCGGGGCTCACGACACCTGAATGGTGAGAAGCACCAGGGTAGGCGCAAGGCCAGACTCCTTGCCACGTCCTCATTTTCAGCACAGAGGCAGCAACAGGGCCAAACTTGACTATGGCAGAAGTCCCATCTCCCCACCCCAGGCCCCACCGGGGGACGGCTCCCAGTCATACCCTGACAGCACACCCTGGGAAGTGACCAGCACAGTGCCAGCCGTGACTAGCCATTAGGATGAGTCATTCCAGCTGCCTGAGCCTCAGCTTCTCCATCTCTGAAGTGGGAGAGAGCTGGGTTAATGACTTCAAAACTCTGGGGCTTCTGTGCCTTGGCCTAGCTCCCTTCCAGCCAGGCACTGGGGGCAGGCAGCAGGCCTGCTTGGCCTGGCCCTCCTCTGTCTGACAGGTAGGACCCTGGCTATGCTGGCATCTGTGTGTCCTGGGAGCCAGTGCTAAGCTGACACCCACTGCTGTTCACTCCAGTAGGCCCACGAACCATGAGGAGACAGAAGCCAGGGAAAGTAGCGACTAGGGCAGGGTCACAGAGTCATAGGAACAGGGCACTGACTGGCCAGTGGGTCCAGCTGCTTTTGGGATGGGGATGGGGTGACAGCTGAGACAGAGGGAGAAAGGTGACTGAGTACTCAGGCAGAAAGTCCCTTAGCCCTCAGTCAGACCCTTGAGGGAGGAATGTATGTGTCGTGGGTGTCATGTCCCTCAATGGAGCTAGGTCAGCCTGTCACAGACTGTGGAGGTAGACAGGTTTTGGCAGTGGCCAGCACAGGGCTTCAGGTGGAGGAAGTGTGTAGGCCGTGACTGAGAGCAGCCAGGGTCTGGGGAGTCCCAGTAAGGGGCCGAGGCTGCAGGAGCAGGGGGAGCCAGGAGCCAGGCTTGCTGGGAAGGAGACAGCATGGCAGCCCCTCTGCAGAAGGGGCTGAACTCACCTCAGGCGACCCAGCTCACAGCTGAGGATGAGCATCCTCGGCACGCCCACCCTCCTCCCCATACTTGCTTGCACGTCCTTTCTCCTCTTCTCTCCCTTCCTGCTGCCACAGCTGGGCCAGGACAGGAGGGAGTGCAGCTGGGCTCTGTGACCAGGCACAGTGAAGGGAAGAGCGCCGCTGCCGCCACCATCACTGTCTGAGCGGATGAGACCACTGTGAGCTGGGTAGTGCTAGTAAGGTTGGGGCCCGGGACCTCTCCTTTGCCGCCTTCCCCTCCGTATCCCCGCCCTCTCTGAGCCTCCCCTATGGAACAGGGCCTCGGAGCACGAGGAGTCCCAGAGGAGGTTCATTCTTGTCTTCTGAAAGTGCAGTGACAATAGTGGTGAAAGTTAACCGGGTACCTACTGAGTGTAGGGATTGCTCCGGGCTGTTTAATGGTGTGCCCACTTCATGAATGGAGAAATCTAGCTTCTAGAGGATGGAGGCTGGGAGAGCTGGGTGTGTTGTGATAATGTCTGTGAGCGGGAGTGGGGGTGGGCCTTACGAGGTTGCATGGTGGAGAAGAAGGAGCACTGGGGCACAGTAGGGAGGGAGGGATGTGCTGGGATGTGGGCTGGAATTGAATCCAGCCTGGGGGCCAAAGGGGACCCAGGGGAAGAGCTCAGGATAGTGCCCTTTCCCTCAAACCCCTGTCCTTCCCACCTGCAAACACTCCCATCTCCTCCATGCCTTTGCTCATAGAGCGACCAGTCTGGAACCCAGAAACTGGGGAGCACAAGGTGCGCTTCTCTTCCCTTCTCTCCTCTCCTCTTCTCCTCCCC